CACTCCCGATGTGCAGATGCTGCTTTCGTATATATGCGGACGACGCAATGTTAGCCGCCTAGTTACGAAACAAACGTATCAAGCCCCGACATGACGCGATGCTTCCCATGATATTCGAAACGGCACACGCGTACAGTTACGCGCACACCGGTTACGTGCAACCGAGCGGCATAAATATGTATGGGACATGAATGCTTGAGTGTGTACAGGACGATCTAAACCATCGAGTTAGCGCGCGTACGTGTGTGTAGCCTGAGATGAGGTACGTGCGCGCGCGCGCGCGTGTGTGTGTGTGTTGTGTGCATCCGCGCGGATGTGTGAATTTGTGGACTCGCGCACGTACCGGATGTTCGACCGAGAGATCAAGCATTTTGCACTCTCACTCTGTATGCTGCTCACTTCGCTAGTGGTCGTAATTGCGTTAATCCTTTTCGAGCCAAGTTCTCCTCTCTTGTGAAATTTATTGTAATTTATAAAAAATGCAATAATCCCTTAAAGCAAAGCGACCCTATGATTAAAAATTATTATGTATGGAGGATTACGATGAACGGATGAATACACTTCATCCGTTCATCGTAATCCTCCTTCGGATGTGTCCTTTTATCTCCTCGTTTAATGTGTTCGTTTCTGTATGCATGTGTCCTGTCATATTTTTTTATTTCGCTTTAACCACAACGAATGCGTTTACGCTCGTAAACTAATTTTGACGTAAACTGCACATCCGTTCACATCGATAAAAAATTGACGGATCGGCGCGATCGATGGATGGAATTAGTTCAAATTTGTTTCGCTCGACAATAATGTTCAAAGCAAAAAATTAACGACACGTGATACGCATGATGTTTCAGACGTGTGTCGATGTTTAAACGAGAGCTGGTCCCGAGAAGGTTTAATGTCGGCAAACACACATACGCGCGCGCGCGCGCGCGCGCGCTCGTTACTTTGGATTAAAATAACAAGCGTTATATCTCAACATATAGTTACTCACCAGTGTCTGTATTTCCAGGTAAGAGAATAGCATCGTCACGAAACCAAGAGGTTACAGTGAGGTGTTCCTTAACATCTTCCCGAGCTGTACAGGATAACACCGCATTGCATCCTTCCATGACGGGTTGTCTATTTACTCTGACGTCGTACCCAGACACTGTCAATACTGTAAGTACACACCAAATTGTAACAGCATATTTAATTCGAGGATTAATTAATTTACAAAAAAAATTTTTTGTAAAAATTTGCTTATGTGTTTATAAGAAAAAAATGTCTTCAAAAGTTTTATTCTGAAAAGTCAATTGTTAAGATCATCAAAAGTAGAAATAATACGATTCAATTCTGATATTTTTTTGCCAAATCTTTTTGAAACTAAGCTTCCGATTTGCTAGCAAATATTGAAAATTCATTCTTCAGACAACATTTAATGTAATTTAATACAAAAAGATCATAATAATTAAAATTTAATTATAGAAATATAATCTTAATGATAAAATTAAAAAAAGATTGTAGCGTTATTATCACATATTCAAAAAGGAAAAATTGATCTAAAATTGATTAAAGGGGATCTGCAAGTCAACGCAATTACATTTGACGCGCGCGAGACACTTTTTATAATAAAATTCTGTTATATTCATATATAACAGAAAGTCGGAGAAAAAAGGAAAGAAAACTAAACAGGAGCGAGGTGACGTATCGTTGAAAGCGGAAGATGGATGATTATTAAGAAGTTACCACAGGCAGAAAGTGGAAAATAAGACACAAGGAAGTAGAAGCATG